CTTACTAATGTTGATTTGAAATCAACATTTTAAGGGTCTTAACTGTGAACACTTATTGTCTATATAAAGACCTTTACCCTCCCTAGGTAAATAGTTATCTTCAAGTTCTTTAATAGTCACTTACCTATCTATAAGGTTTACGATCTATATGAGCCTTACTATCTATACATTAGATAGTTCTCTAAGTCCTTCGAACAATAACTAATTAATTTACTTCTTTAAGGAGCTATTTATCTTAAATTCTTCTTAATATTTCGACTTTAAACTCTTTCGTAGAAAAGATTTTCTAAATAATTAGCGAACTTTATCTCTATAAGTAGTCTTACTATCTTTTAGAATTAAATCGATACTTACGCGAATTTTAATCGTTAATCTCGAATTTCTATTTAGTTATATTCTTTATTCTTTAGTATTAACTCTAGTAATTCTTAATATAGTATCTTATTAAGATATAGTCGTAAAGAGCTTAAATCTTCGATGAATAGATTATCTTCCCGCGGTCGCTAACTATAATAGAGCACTTTAGGATTCGGCGTGTACGTGTAACAACGCACAGAGATCTATTTAGTAGATCGAGAATTAAGAACGCGTTTCTAGTTAATACTAATAAAACATTACTAAAACTATCTAGAGAGGCAGCGGCTAGAGCTACGAACACCTAGCACAGCGGCAACATCGAGGAACAGAACAGGACTAATAAAACACTCTTAGGAATTAGGTAGACGGCGTCAAAAGCTATGGAATTCATAATACTCTGCTCAATCTATAAAAAATGAATGGCACACTGCCAGCACTGTAAACTGTTCCGCACCCCCTCTCTGCCAGCCCATTTAGGTTTGACATGTGACTAAATAACTTTTCCTCTCTGCCACCGCTCCTATCAGCTCAGCACAGCTCATCACAGCACAGCCACCTTACCTTATTAGAATACTATTAAGAATCTATTACTAAGGAGCCTAATCTAGTTAGGTGACATGGCAGCAGCTCTAATATTCTATTAGTTAGTCACACTTTGTAGAGCCTTTCACATGCCCAACGAATATCCCGAGTCGTGCCGCAGTAGCACGCGCCCGGCCACCTCTAAGGCTATATCTAGCACATATACACTACACTAAAGAATACGTGAACTTTCAGATACGAGATTCCGGCCGCTTCATTCCGGGCAGGCGAAACTTAAGTTAACTAGGCCTCAGCTAACCTTATTCGGAGTCTTCGCACTCCCGGCGGTCGATAAATAACCTAAGCTCCGCTATTAGAGAATACATTAATGTCTCAGTCTAATGGTACCTCGACGTTATTACTCCTCACTAGGCGAATACTAATTAATAGCCTTAAATTTTTCTTAATAAAGATAGATTATTTAATAGAAGGAGTTAGAATAGTCTTAAAGAGATCCGATAATTCGGAGATATTAAACTATAGTAGAAGTAAGCGAATACTATATCTCACCTTACTATGGGGTAGATTAGTTATCTTAATTCTAAGTTATCTATACTCAATACCTAGAAAGGAACTCGATCTTAGTACGAAGAATATAGCGCTACTAAAGTAAGTTAATAATGCTAGAATGTCGCGACATTATTGGTAATCCCCCCGGTCTTCCGGTAACGTCGGCATAACTACGCTTACTCTTCTCCCTTCGGCTTAGCTTCCGCTCAGGTTCTAAGATATTAAAACTAATCACCTGTTACCTCGTATCTATTGTGGGCCATAGTCGTTTATAGGTTTAATTGGATTGGCCACACCTACCGAGTATAACTCCGGTGACCACGGGGATATTGCTGCTCATTGCAGGAAGGAATGACCTTTACCGTAGATAAAGTTTCCTAGTGCACGCGAGAACAAATGCTTTCAAAGCACTTTAAGATTCGCCAAGAGCGTGTCCGGAAAGTAATAATCTTCGTATTGTGACAGTATAGGGCTACCCTCATCTTCGCTTTGGTAAAACTCGGCTCGGTTTCATAAATAGCTAACATAACTAAGCACAAAGTTCTGTCCGTTGGAAATCTCCATTTACTTAGAAATTAACTGAGTTTACCCTCTTTATAACGACGGCAGATCTTTAAAGGAAGGCATCCTACAGCTCTTACACGCAAACCTTCCCTAGAGAAATCGAGTAAAAGGTTGAGCTGCTATAAGCCCTAAAGTCACGATCGCTATGGATGCCGAAGCTCGAAATAGCTCTGCAAGAGATAACCAATTCTTCGAAAATGCAATGAGGCAACCCAGGACGGTCCAAGCATCCGAAACAATAAACCAGGAACAGCCTGACGACATCATAGCCCATCAGGGTTTATGCTCCTATTCAGGAGAGAATCTTCCGTTGTCTATCGAGCCGGATATGATATCAAGACTAAGCACACTTAGCCAGGCTGAAATCGATTTCTCGCGTCTCGATGCAACTGATGCTAATTTCGACTTTCATAAGTGGGCCTCAGAGACATTGTCAAAGGCAGATAAGTCGAAGTTCAAGTATCGACGCGCCTCTGTTGCGTTCCTTGATCTCGATGTCTTCGGTTCAACTTCTGTGGGGAGGCCTACTCAAGCCACTGTCGCTTCTGTACTAGGTTTTATCAAAAATCTGCGGCATTATTTCAACATCGGAAGACATTTAGAACGTAAGATTCTGTCTTCTTTCGACGGCCTTATCAAACACGGGGAGATGCTACTGGTCCTTGGACGTCCTGGTAGCGGCTGTTCCACACTACTCAAGACAATTGCTGGAGAAATGGGGGGATTGAAAGTCGGCCCATACTCTTATCTTCGTTATAACGGTATTTTTCAGCCAGACTCTCAAAACTAGGCTAACGTGGTATTAGGCCTTCCTCAAGGAAGGATGGTGAGCCAATTCAAAGGTGAAATGGTGTACAACGCAGAAGTCGACCATCACTTCCCGCACCTTACAGTCAAGCAGACTCTAGAGTTTGCTGCCACGGTTCGTACGCCTTCTAATCGAATCATCGCAGCGTCACGAAAAGAGAATATCAGACGACTCACATCAATCGTGATGGCGATCTGCGGACTGACCCATACGCGCAACACAAAAGTCGGAAATGATTATATAAGGGGCGTTTCTGGCGGAGAGAGAAAAGTGAGCCCTATCTCTCATATATAAATATTGAGGTGCTGATACCCTTAAAGCGCGTCAGTATCGCTGAAACGATGCTAGCATGGTCTCCTATTGGATGTTGGGATAATAGCACTCGTGGTCTTGATTCTGCTACTGCACTCGAATTCGTTCGAACACTAAAAGTTAGTTCCGATCTTCTCGGTACAAGCCATGTGGTAGCTATCTATCAAGCCTCCCAAGCTATATATGATATTTTCGACAAGGTCATAGTCCTATACGAAGGCCGGGAAATCTACTTCGGAAGCACAACGAACGCCAAAGCCTACTTTGAGGAAATGGGCTGGTACTGTCCTCAGCGGCAGACAACCGGCGACTTCCTAACCGCTATCACGAACCATAGAGAGAGGAAGCCGCGTGCCGGGTACGAGCTGAGCGCACCACGAACTGCCCAAGAATTCGAGAACTATTGGCGACAGTCTCCCGAATTTAAGAGGCTTCAGGATGAACTTGATGCTTATCGCCGCGATCCATCGAATCAAGTCTTCGCTGAAGAGCTTCAAGTATCACACAAAGCAGCACAGTCAAAATGGATCCGGGCGCAATCCCCGTATATGGTGAACTTTGCCATGCAAGTTCAGGTCTGTACGAAACGCGCATATCAGAGACTCTGGAACGACAAACCGTCGACCTTGACTGTGGTAATCGGACAAGTTATCATGGCATTGGTTGTTGGATCCGTCTTCTACGGTACACCGAATACGACGGCCAGCTTCTTTGCGAGAGGTTCGACCTTATTTTTTGCCACTTTACTAAGCGCGCTCATCGCAGTAACCGAAATTAACGCCTTGTATCAACAGAGACCTATCGTAGAGAAACATGTCTCCTACGCGTAAGTAAAAGATATGCCGTTGGCATCCGTTCCCTCGCTATGTAAGAGTCGCTGACACAGATCTAGCTTCTGCCGTCCTGCTTCTGAAGCACTTGCGGGTGTAATATGCGATGCGCCGGTTAAGATTGTTATTGCCATTTTATTCAACATCATTCTCTACTTCCTCGCTGGGCTCTCTTCGACAGCTTCGCAATTCTTCATCTTCTTTTTATTCACAACGTTAGTTCGATTTACTATGTCGGCAATGTTTCGAACACTAGCAGCGGCGACGAGAAAAGCCTCCCAGGCGTTAGCTCTAGCGGGGATTTTAGTCCTTATCATAGTCATTTACACAGGCTATACTATCCCGAGGCCGTACATGCGTCCATGGTTCAAATGGCTGACGTGGATCAACCCGTTATCTTATGCCTTCGAAGCTCTGATGGTCAACGAATTTCATGGGAGGGAATTTCCATGCGCAAAGTATGTGAACGTTTGAGTTTTTGGAAGATGTCTGCTGACTCTGCACAAGCTTGGTCCCAGCTTATCCAAATCAGAGTGGCACGACATTCGTGTGCTCCGTGCCGGGCTCCATTGCTGGCCAAGCAACGGTATCTGGCGACGCATACGTCCAAGCAAGTTTTCAGTACAATTATTCGCACCTCTGGCGAAATTTTGGAATTGGAATTTCGTTCTATGTGTTTTTCCTCATCACATATCTCGTTGCAACTGAGCTTAATTCAGCCACTTCGGGCACAGCTGAAGTGCTACATTTCATTAGTGGTAACCGAAAAGCATCAGTCTCAAGCTCACTCGAGCAAGATACTTCCGAAGAACAACCCTCATTAAAGGGCAACTATCAGCAAGGAAACCCAGCCGTACCACAGCAGAGAGATGTTTTTAGTTGGGGCAGTATTTGTTACGATGTCAGCATTAAAGACGAGCCGAGAAGACTCCTAGACAATGTTTGCGGCTGGGTTAAACCAGGTACATTGACCGCACTAATGGGCGTGTCTGGTGCAGGGAAGACGACTCTTCTCGACGTCCTGGCGCAAAGGACGTCTACCGGGATCATTACTGGAGATATGTTGGTGAACGGTGCGCCAATTGATCGAAGCTTTCAGCGCAAGTCTGGTAGGTCGTGCATCCGAACAGCCCTGAAAGTATTAATAACTGAGTCTTTAGGATATGTTCAGCAGCAAGACGTACATCTCGCAACTTCGACTGTTCGAGAAGCACTGCGATTTAGTGCTGCGCTGCGGCAGACTCGATCTGTATCTCTTCACGACAAATACAGTCATGTGGAAGACGTCATTAAAGTTCGTACTACCTATCTTTATATAGTTAGTAAGGGGCTAATAGGAAATAGATGCTTGATATGGAAGAGTTCGCTGATGCAGTTATTGGGGCGCCAGGGGAAGGACTGAATGTCGAACAGAGGAAACTACTAACAATAGGAGTTGAGTTAGCGGCGAAGCCAGCACTTCTGCTCTTCCTAGATGAGCCAACCAGCGGGCTCGACTCGCAAAGTTCTTGGGCTATTGTTTGCTTACTCCGGAAGCTTGCAAATTATGGCCAAGCAATACTCTGCACTATACATCAGCCGAGCTCAATTTTGTTCGAAAAGTTCGACAAACTACTTTTCTTGGCAAAAGGGGGAAAGACAGTTTACTTCGGCGACATCGGACCTAATTCAGAGATACTTCTCAGGTATTTCGAGAGTCGAGGAGCTAGGCCTTGTTTGCAGACGGAGAATCCGGCAGAGTACATTCTTGAAACCGTTTCCGCTGCAAGCGGGAAACCTTATCAGGATTGGCCCGAGCTCTGGAAGTCCAGTCAGGAGTATCGGGCGGTGGTCGAAGAATTGGATCGAATTCACCTAGTCGGCAGTAGTGCTACCGCAGGAAATGAGGAGCAAGACGAATTTGCCATGCCTCTGCTGACGCAGATCAAGCTCACTACTATCCGAGTCTTTCAACAGTATTGGCGGACACCTTCTTATATCTGGGGAAAGACTTCGCTTGGATTGGTGTCTGCTCTGTAAGTTGAATCATTCCTGGACAATTAATAGACTGACGTAAAGACAGCTTCATCGGATTCTCGTTCTTCCAATCTAACTCATCCCTGCAAGGGATGCAGAATACGATATTCAGCGTTTTCATGCTAGCATCGATCCTCAATCCACTGGTCCAGCAGGTGAACTCTACGACTTTGTTGCTTACTTTGGGAGTATTGACGATATTCAAGATTATGCCTCGCTTCGTGATGCAACGATCCCTGTATGAGGTAAAGCGTCATGTGAAAATGATAAAACCTGTGTTTACGAGATACAGGTTCGGGAACGACCTTCCAAGATCTACTCGTGGGTTGCTTTCGTTATGGCCAATATTGCTGTCGAAACAGTATATCAAGTGCTCCTCGGTATCTTAGTGTTTGCTTGTTACTACTATCCAGTCTTCGGGTAAGATATCGAACATATCAACAGTTGTTGCTACTGATATCTTGCAGTGTACAGTCATCCCAGCGTCAGGGTCTAATGCTCCTCTACTGCGTTGAGACCTTTGTCTTTGCTAGTACCTTCGCGCATATGATAATCGCGGCCCTCCCAGATACTCAAACTGCTGCTGCCCTAGCAACACTGTTGTTCTCTATGACAATGATCTTCAATGGGTAAGCAATCTCCCAAAACACAAAGGCCATCCCTCACTCTTCAAGTGTTTTCCAGCCACCACAAGCATTGCCAGGGTTCTGGATCTTCATGTATCGTGTCAGCCCTTTGACATACATCATCGGCGGATTTGCGGCTACCGGACTGCACGGCAAGCACGTCCAATGCTCATCGGCCGAAATGAACGTCTTCAATCCTCCTAGTGGTCAAACCTGTGGTCAGTACCTCAAGGTATATATGGCGACTGCCTCCGGTGAAGTGTACAATCCATCCGCCACAGTCGACTGTCAATACTGCCCGTTGACGACCTCAGATCAGTTTCTTGCTCTCTCATCAATCTCGTGGGGCACGAGGTGGCGCAATTTTGGAATCATCTGGGCCTACGTCTGCTTCAACGTCATTCTGACAATGGCATTCTACTATGCCTTCCGGGTTAAGAAGTGGGATTTTACACATCGTAAGAAGCGTTGGTCTCGTCTAGGTACATGGGCGACGATAGCTGGGAGAATTACCAAAACGTTGGTGTTGGGTGCAGTCGGTCGAATTATCTATTGGTAGGTGATTTATGGTGCAGATTTAATGGAGAAAGGATCGCGAGCAAAAGTCTGAGTCGATGGCTGCTCTCAGTCCCGAATAATTGCTATGTTGCGTTGATTCCTACCAATCTTTGTGCTTGTGCGAGTTGGCATAGTCGCAAATGGCTTGGATATCAATTCACGGAAAGTCGACCTTGCATTATTTGGTAGGGAATTTAAACTGCTGTGACAAATCAACTACAGCGACAGGCCCCATCTAGGAGCATTGATAATAATTCCCGCAATGCAACCACTGATTATGCCAGTGACAGGGAGAGTAATGATCCATCCGAAGTAGATCCAGGCAACCATACGCCAGTTAATGGTCCTCCATGTTCCGCTGCACAGACCAACGCCAACAGTGGCTCCAGAGATGCATTGTGTGGTGGATATTGGGAGCTCTGTCGTGATTTGTCAGTGCATGTACTTTGAGCCCTTATTCTATAGACGAAGTGACTCGAGAAGAGATCCCGAATCTAGGAAGAAATAGACGGAGCGGAGTATTTTAGCAGAGGTAAAGACTTACTCAACTTCGTAGCCATAATGACAGTGATGGCAGAGCCCAATTCCATCGAGAAACCTCGGGATGGCGAGTGAAGAGTAATACGGTTTCCAAGATTGCGCATGATGTTGTAGCCGTACGTCCAGAGACCAATGACAATGGCAGCGCCACCGAAAGCCCTGGCCTGAATTAGTCTTCTGGGTGAGAATTGACCCTGCTTGCAAAAAACTTACAGAATCCAATAGGGTACGGGGCTCTTAGACTTAAGCTGAGCAGTAGACCAGATGTAGTATATGGATGCGTACGGGCCAATGGCGCTGGATTCAGGTCAGTCAGCGGTTAAGAGAGCCCAAACACCAGTTGCGACATACTTGGAAACATCATTTGCACCATGAGTGAACGATGCTGTAGCCGCAGTCATCACTTGCAGGAACGAGTACAAGTACTCGGCCTTGTTGTCGTAGTGGGTAGCACGGGCGTGCATCAAATCAAGATCCCCAGACAAGATGTTACGCTTGCTCTGAAGGGCAACCACGTCCTTCTCAATACCTCGGAAGAAGTAACGCTTAAAGTGCCAGAAGAGAACCCTGGGGTGGGTATTCTTTCCTTCCGGTCGAGGTCCAACAATTTTGATATGTTGTGTCTCCGATGAAGACTGAGGTGTTATATCGCGCGAGCTTGAACCTTTTTCGCCGGAAGTAGTAATTCCATTTCCTTTGTCGAGCTCGCCGTTGTGTTCTGGATCTTCAGATTTGTCTTGGAGGCTACCGTCAGCCCGATGCGCTTCGAGTTCTTCCATAGTCTTATGACCCTCGTAATAGTCTCTCACAGCAGAATAGCCCTCAGGTGCAGGCGGCGGCTCGGCTCGCCACAGCAGAAGCGGGCCCTCAATGATGTGGTAATATTTGAGTTCCCAGTCGTTCTTCCAGAGTTTCCGATACAGCCACGGGAGGAAGAAGGTGGCCATGATCGCGGCAACCGCCGCCCCGACGCCGATGATGATGCCAACAGTTTCGGAGTCACTGATGGATATTCTGGAAGATCCTCCTTTCCAGACAATAAGCACTTCTATTGTCAGTCTCATCAATTTTACTCAGCTTCAGAACACTTACTGGTGAGAAGGGCTGAGGTGATACCAAAATAGATTGGGATACTGGCCAAGGCTCTCATAAGTGGATTTCGGCCTTGCATGACCCCAAACTTAGTGATAAGGAAGATAATAGATCCAAAGCTTCCTGCGATGAGAGGAGCTAAAACCCAGGCAAGAAAGACTTGGACCACACCCGAGTTGACGTCCCCTCCCCACCATATGACACCGTCGGCGCCAACTAATGCAATTCCCATGCCGATCACGCCTCCCATGATGGAATGCGTTGTGGATACTGGCATACCGAGCTTGGTCGCAACAGTGAGGTAGGTCGACGACGCCACGACAGCACAAGCCATGCCCAACATTAACAGAGCTGGGTTCTCCTCGAAGCGGTCCACATCAATAATCTTGGTTCGAATCGTGTCAGCGACACGAGCACCCACTCCCATACTGCGAAATATGAGCATCAACGCCTTCCACACCTTGAACTAGCTCTATGCATACCTGCCAGCAAATTCCATGACCGAGGCAATCATCATCGCTTGTAGATGGGTCAAGGATCGGGACGAAACTGACGTCGCAAAGGAGTTGGCGACATCGTTTGCGCCGATATTCCATGCGTCAAGGAATGCAAAGATGGTTCCAATAGCAAAAATGTAGTCAAATTGATGGAGAGCCATCGCGGTAGCACTGGTATCTCAGATGATATCGTGAAAATTTCAGGTCTGAAGATATAATCTGAGACAACTCAGGAGCGAGGGGCAGGCCTGGCTTTTAAATTTGTTCGACGTCCGCTGCCTTCAACTTTCTTTTGCTCCTGAGATATCAGCGTAGCATCGGCCGGCGGAGTACTAGAGTAGCCTGGAATATAAGGCCCTTTGATGCCATGGCGAGATGGGTACGAACCCCCTCCTTCTGCACAAGAAGCAGCGTGTGCTATCCAGTCTGCCAATCGCAACCAGGCCAGACCTGAGAAGATGCCAAAGTGTGATCAATCACACCACCATATATCTTGGCTGGCCCGCCTACGGCCATAATATATCGCTTGAATGGGCTCGATGCTACGGAACGCGCCTCGAGCGCAGCGTGAATTGATATTGCCAAGCCTTCCGCCCTTTAGTGGGATCCTTGGCATATTTGGCATCGACGTTCAACACCAATTAATCTTTCAGATCTGAGCATGTGTTCTTGGAAAGGACCCCTCTATCCGGACACGATTATAAACGACTGGTGTATGCCACCCCAAACCTATAATATTGGCAGTCGGCCTTGCGCGACGCGCACTTTGACACATTTGGAGCATTTGCCAATCCAGATAGTTATTTCTGGTCGCATTAAGATACATTGCAAATGTAAATCACCCTTCCGGCTCCAGCCACGGCCCAGTGATATTATGGGTACTCGAGCCAATAGAGCTCGATCCTTGGCCCTTACCCGCCCTCGTAAACCATGATAGAAGTCGAGCGAAGTACCGCCGCAAGCCAAATAATATTGATCTTTACTCGTTCGACGTTCCGTACCGTTCCATGATAAGCTTTGTCTTCAGAGAATCCTTCTCTAGGAGCCACGCTCTTTTTTGTAAAGATTTGATGAGTCGAGCGCGTCCCTCCAGCGCCTTCTTCAAGTCAGATGTCTTAAATGACGCCTCGACGATGGGCTCAAGGCTCGCATCCGTCCTGCGCTTTCGAACTGGCCACACTTCAATGAAGAGCTTGAACCCGTCCCAAGTACCTTCGAACCGCTTGGCATGCACTGGCCCGTAAATTATGGAGTTAGCGAGATGCTGCGTACCCCAGTTGTCGGAGGACCAATTCTTAAATTCTTTAGGTGCATTCTCGGTGAAAAACTTGCGCGAGTCTTCCGGACCGGGCAGGTCCATTCCTTCGAATCCCTCGTCAGGAAGTTTCGCATCGTAGCTGATGGAGAGAGTTTGCTCCTGGTACCCGACCTCAACCTGCGCTTTATAGGTAGTTGCCGAGTTGAAACCTTCTTGCAGTACCGTCTCGAGTGCTGTATTAATGTTGCCTTCAGCGGTACTAGAGTCTCCCTCCTGAACTGGATAACGCTTCTTGTACGTCAACTCGAAGTTGTTTTTACCTTCTGTCTTCCGGATACGCAGGTTCCAGCCGCTGCTATATATGGCTTTTTTCTCAGTGTCCACGAATTGAATATTCATTTTTTTTGTGCCCGGCACGATGTCAAACTCTGACTGGACTGCGTCGTTGAGCTTGTTGCTCGATCCAAGTACTTCTTCGCACTTCAGAAGGACCTTGACCTCGTAGTCGGGGACTAAACGCGATGTCATGATGTTCAAATTATCGAGAATGCTTCCGGGGCGGTGAGACAACGCCTTGAAAAAAATGGCAAAAGGAAGTAAAGGAAGTAATGGGAGGAGATAGATCGAGATATATTACAATAATCCGTCTCTCGCAACGGAGAACCGGCGTGCTGGTCATTCTTAGACTTTGCTGGTTTGCGTGCTCCGTACTAGCTATTCAGCTGTCGTCAAAATTGTTCAGCCGGGTCTAGACTCGCGATCACAAGTCGAGATTGCCGTAGCCATCTTACAGACTGATAGATGCAATGACTGGCAAGTTGCTAGCTTACCACTTGTGAGCCAACGTCTGACCGTAGGTTTTATTCAAACCAGCTTTCACACTCCTAATTATAGCATTCGAATTTTGGTTGGCAAGAACTGATTATAGAAACACAGGAGATCACAAAAATGAGTGAGACAGCTCATTTGTTGAACCACGATCGCCGATATTCGTGTCTCGACTTGGCCATCCTGTCCATTGGTGGGAAAGACTCAGCTGGACGGCTGCCAAGTATACTGGGTCTTTCAGCAAGCCGTACTATCCAGCCCAGCTGAGGGTCTTTTATTTTTCTGAGAACAAATCGAGAAACTGGGAACAGAATTGCTTGCTATAGGAGTGAGTTTGGCTGAGACGACGGTTTGCATATTTATACTTGTTAGGTCAGCAATTAATATGGACATCTAAAAAGCATTGCAGCCTAGTTGCGGACTTACTCTCATTACCTCAGCCTTATTGTTGACAGCAGAGCGCCACTGTGGCAAACCAATCGATCCACCAATGCTTCAACCGAGGCCTCTCTATAATAGACTCGGTGCCACCGTTGATCGACAATGAGGTCTGGAAAGATCTGGCCAGGTCCAGATCTATTCAGAGGATCGCTTCTTACCACAGTGCAAATAGTATATAGACAGGCAGAGCCTCCCTGAAAAGCCAGAGGAGACAACACAATCAAGCAGATGAATCCACTCTCATTCTGTATTCAACACTTATCCTCTCAACTCCCATACGGTTAACCATGAGCCCTACAAAACGCAGTTTCTCGTAGAGTAAATCCGACATCCACTGCTAAAATCCCTGGCAATTTTCTACGTTCCATTATTATGACCGACGTCCCTTTTCGATAATATGGATTTGAGATTTGCACATCCTTTGGCTTCTCCCCGTGTGACCTGGAATGTCATGAGAGGATGATATGTTTTGAAATTCCGGATCATGCGATCCGATTCCACATTCGGTTGCGCTAAAGCCCCAGAGTCACCCAAAAGTGGCTAGTAAATGCAATGCCCGACTATTGCGTGACAAATTCGAAGAATTTTGGTTTTTCGTTTCTCCTCACCATTGCAAGGCAACTGTATTCTCGAGAAGACTACAAGCTGAGGCTGTCTCCTGATGGGTCGGGCCGCTGACTGCCAGAACTTTCTCCGATGGATTAATTAACGTGCGTCTCGCCTGACCTTGATGAGTACAGAACAATGATCGGCTGATGAGCTTCTTGGCCAAGCTAAAACGGATGATCGCTCCATATCAGGATTCAAGATGCAATGATATATTGACAGTGGAGATGCACTGTTAAGGTTCGAAGGCGGAACACCTTCACAAAGCTCAACCCAGTAATGACCACCATTATTGAACTACCACCAGCAGATAGCGAAGGTGAGGAAGCGTGGCCCCATGTCCATAATCTATTTGGACTTGAAGCTGAAGTAGGTTGAGAAGAGCCTGCCAAAGTCTTTGTTGACCGCCACCGTTATTACACCTATACCGCGGGAGAAGACGAAGTCACCGTAAGCACATCAGGCTTTTCATCCTATTCGAAACATTCGCTCAAAGCGACCAGGAAAGAATGCCACCAGATAAGTTCCCGTGGCCGGAGACCGCGTTTCTGTCCATCCACCCTCTTGAGCCAGTCTTGCAGTTTAATAGCGGAGGAGCCGCTAGAGAGTTTAGGAAGGAGTGTCCATACGCAAGAATACTTTATCCTGTTGTGAGTTCCTGTCACTCCCTGTTGTCAAATCCCACACAACGGCACTTTTCCGAAAAGCGCGCTACACGCTTTCCTCCTCCTTCTGCTGCCAAGATCACCTCCGAAATCTAACGGATATCCCATTCAGACACATCCTAACTGGGTATTCATACCGATGCCCAAAGGTCTACTCGGCGCATTCACAAAGCATGGGAGAATGGGCTTTGCATTCGAACACTATGTCGACGCGAAGGTCTTCGAGACCTCAATTAACGGTGTAGGTGACGTTCGTGAGGGATTCGATCACAAACATTGGAAGGTCTATGTGGGGAAAGAGAAATGGTGATGCCGCTTAGGTGCTTGCAGTTAATGCCGCTTTTGCGGTGATGGCGCACGTGTCAAACTAAGAACGGACCGCATGCTATAGCATCTTCGTCTGTCAGGATTTCGCCTACCACGTCATGTCCGTTGTCCGGAGATCATGACAGCAGTTTCCTGTGTTATGATCTAAACATTTGGACTTGAAGACCTTCCCTGGCTGTGGGCTTCTAAGACATGCTTTCCTAATCTCGATACTATTGCCCCTGTCAATAGAAACGTTCTCCTCGATATTCACACAGAGTCTAGTTTCTCACAAAGGTATTCTTGTTTTGAAAACCACGGGACTGTTTGAGGTTATGGGTGTGTCATCACTCCTCCATCGACATCTCCATCTGCCACCAGGACTTCCCTTTCCCGAAACGCCCTCATCATCTTTCAGCGAGGTCGGTGTTTTGTAGATGCTGCTGCTGCGGCTTGATTCTTCCTGCTGATGTGACTTCTGTGGCATCTCCGTTCCGGGAAAAGAAGGCTTCAGGGACTCCCACGGAGCTCATCGGACCGTGTAAGCCCGTCTTCAGACGTAGGGAAGCTTCACCTTCTAGGCAACATGAACCCCGGCCGCTTGACTTTAGGGTTTGGAAGTTCGAGGCGAGAGTTTTCGGCATGAAAATCGATTCACACACTTAACAGCAGGCTATATCGTCAATATCCATACCATTCCTTATTTCCTGACCATCTTCGGCATCATGAACACTTCGGGAAGTCTCCATCTCAGGGTCCATATGCTCGGTTTTGCCCGTCGGCTGCACCACGCCTTCCGGGAAAGGGATGGCGGATGCAAGGAGATTTTGCAGAGTTCAGATTAAGCACCGCTTCATTGAGACCTCTATTTATATCCTATATCTTCTATTTTGTCAAAGATAACACATTTCTCTCAAGAACAGATCATGAGCACGCGAAAGCCTGACCATTGTCAGCTTCACATTAATGCCGCTCAATTAATGATTGCCCCACGGTCGGTAATAAAGATATCATCCGGATGGAATTTTTCCAATTAACAATAGAAAGATTCCTGGATTAAATATGGATCATGAAACTTAAGTTCCTGCCATCGGGCGCAACATCTTTCGTGCGTGCTGAGTGATCTAGCAAATTGTCAGGATTCCATGACGATATCGTCCATCGGGTAGTCAAACCGCACGGACAGGCTTTGAGACAGCGGTTGGGGCATGGCTCAGCATGCTCTATGTATCCTTGTTTAAATTGGTGCAGAATCCTTTCCTGATAGTAACTCCGCCCGAGTTCATTCTGGCACAAGGGATCTCTGTAAGCGTAAGTTCTCACATGTTCGAAAGACCAAAGTTAAAATGTTCTAGATCATGGACCTTGGAGTATTACGATACATAAACGGCTTCTCCGTAGCCGAGGGGCCCCAACCGACAGGACAATATCCTACGGAGCGTTGGCCGACAAATTCGGAGTTGACGAATCTCAACTGAAACGTGTCCTGCGATATGCCATGACGAAGGGCATTTTTGTCGAAATCGATGGCGATGTGGCTCACACGCAGACATCAATGCTTCTGCTCGGGAACGGAATTGCGATACTGAGCAAGCATTCCAGCGATCGCGGATGGCCGTTTGCAAGCCGTTTCAATGATGCCATTGAGAAATGGGGCCATGACTCACCGGAACCCAACGAGACGGCATTCAATATTTTCAAAAATACCGATCTATCCATGTTTGAGTACCACGAACAGCACCCGGAGTCTAGCGCAGACTCCCACGCCGTCAAGAATCAGTTCACAAAATCGCCACCACTGTCGCACGAACACGTCAAGTCAGCGTTTGAATGGAGTGGCCTGTCTCATGCAAGAGTCTTCGATGTCGGCGGTAGCCTTGGCCATGGCAGCATTGCCATTCTTGAGCCAAATCTAACGCTCACATGTATCGTCCAGGATCTCCAAAGAACGATCGCCCAGCGGCAGCTCCTTCGACATCGATCGTTCCTGCCCATATGAAGAGTCGAATCAACTTCCATGAAGACAGATTCTGGGACCCCCAGCGTGTAGCCGCCGACAGTTATTTCCTCCGAACGATCTTTCACGACTGGGCGGATAAATACACGAAGAAGATTCTGCAGGCTCTTCTCGTGGCCATGAAACCTGGTTCGAGGATCCTGATTATGGACTATGTCACACTCCCATACGGCACGCTCAAGATCGGTAATGAGCGACGAATGCGGATTCGGGACATGCAAATGATGGTTATGCATAATGCGCTGGAAAGGGATGAGGGTGAATGGAGGCGGTTATTTGCCGAGACGGATTCGAACTGAGACTGAGACAAATACGTAAGCTAGCCGGAAGCGCTCTGTCATTGCTTGAAGTGGTTTTGGATAACCGAAGAGATTCTGTGCTTGAGCCTTGAGTTTATCATGATAGCAGGATGAAAGTTTACAGTAAGCCGCAAATATTTGTGGGGTGAATTTAAATCGATTCCTTGTTCGAACCGCGAGGGCGGCTCTGCTTCGAGGTGCTCGGGCGCTTAAGATGATGCCGGGTGGATCCTTTTAAAAGACATACTGTTGTACACAGAATGAGAGTGGATCTATCTGCTTGATTGTGTTCTCGGCCCCCTGGCTATTCAGAGAGACTCTGTCTGTTTATATACACTTTGGCCTGTGATCTGAAGGCCATTCCTGAAACCTCCTATTCTGTCGCTATCCTATCACATGTCGGCGAGAACAACGGTGTTGAGGTAGGCGGCGCAGTTGGTGAAACGCCTAGCGTCTCAGGTGGTTTGCCAGAGTGGCGATCTCGCGAGCCTGTCAACACATGCCTTCGTCTAGGGCTACCAGTGTTCTCCTTTGCTCTCTATTTAACTTTGGTGCAGCAAACTGAATAAACGAGCAAAATCCGCAATGTCCCCGACGTTTTCAAGATTCCAGGATGCTTCCATCGCCATTTGAGCTCTTTGCTTTCCGATAATTGGTACTGCTTGATCTAGGAACTTCTCCTCGAGACTCAGCTTTGTCATAGGTCTTGTCAAACAGCCGGTGGCGTGCTGAACATGGATCTTCTTCTCCTGAGGCGCGCCGCAACGATATCGGAAAGTCAAATATGCTTCATCATCATGAATTGCTTCATTCGTTGCAACCTTGACCTTGTCTCTGACAGATGTAATCGCGGCATCGTTGCAAGCCTGATCTGTGAATTGCGATGGTCCAGCATGGCCTCGAACTAGTGCAACTGCGCATCCGTGATATAATGAGAAAATGGCTTCCAAACCGGATTTGGGATGCTTGATTGAGCACAACCGAATGCATTGGGGATTCACGAGGACGTCAACAGTATCCAGCTTCTCAGCGATAGCTTTGTCGTCTGCAAAGGCTTCCAAACAGCCATCAATAAGTGGATGTATGACAATTCCGCAGGGATACGGCTTGAAAGTGTTCTGCAGGATCTGCCATTTCCCATCTTGTGCAAGTATCGATATCAGCTGTTCATTAACCGTTGGCGATACCAACTTTGCCCATGATTCAATGGACCTTGTGCAGCTTTCAAATCCATGCAATGCTAGGTTTGCTGCAAGAATGCCGTTTTGCGCAGCTCTCCCCATGTGCAATGTCTTCGTATCCGTCCCAAACATTGCCCGGATTCCCCCTGCCATGCTGCATGCATGTCCGAGTGCCGCTGCGAATCGATGTGAATCAAGATCTAGTGTCTTTGCAACCGCAGCAGCTGCGCCAAACGATCCAGTCGTCCCAGTGATATGCCTACGAAAATTAGCTTTGGCCGCTCAAGGCCGGAGTTAGCTTACCATCCATCCCGATAATGCCCCGGCGATATCGCATTTCCCACCGCGCATTGCGCTTCAACTCCGCAGACAAAAGCAAGCAAGAACTCTTTGCCAGACAGATGACGGTTCTCTGCCCATGAGAAAAGAGCCGCAAGGGGCGTTCCGGAAGGGTGAATCACAGTTCGAAGGTGCGTATCGTCATAATCGGCTGCTGTCAGGGCAACGCCGTTGAGCAATGTAGCATCTTCCACACTTGCCCGGTCGACTCTGCCAAGGAGAGTTGCTTGATCAGCCTGGTTGATCAAGGAAAAGACTTTCTGCGCTGACGAGGTTTCTGAGGAGCCCAATGCGCAACCCAGGCTGTTGAGAATCCCCCGTTTCGCCTGCTCAACAACCTGCTCAGGGAGGTCGTCATACCTCAACTGGGAAAAGAAGTGGGCGAGCTGGGCAGTGTGGTCGATAACAGCCATTTTCGGTAGAGATTGTGGCAGGATTTGACTCGACAGATGGGCGGTTATCCTCCGTGGGGTTTAGTTTTGAATCATCCTTGACCATCTCCAAAAGATCAGTGGATTTGGAGAATGTCAGAGACAGGGTCATGCTTCCCCAAACCGTTGAGAGGGACATCTCCTAGTTAACACTTCCACAGGATGCATAGAGACAAGATTCCAATCTCCCCTCCCCTCCCCAAGAGGAGTCAACGGGAGAGTTATTGTGAAAATGGGAAGCGTAGAGTGGCTTTTTGTTGAGGCTTAGCCTGCCGATCTCGACCTTCTAGAACTCTGATCATCGTGAAATCGGTCTACCACTAGATGGGTGACAAGGTACCGACATTACGGCGAATGCACATTGCAATAACGCGGGCAGCCTTCGAGGGTGAATTGAGCTTACTGTGCGGTATCATGATTTAAAGATTGGCATCAGCTCAGGTATCTTCAGGATACCGTGACCAGGGCTAGCCAGGGTACGTTGTGCAAGAGACATCCCTGCCTAGCGCATTTTGCCGTGGCTTTTTCTGGGCATTGGGATTATTCAACAGCAAATGAAAGGATAGAATCCTGACTTTGTCGAAATACTAAATTCTTTTTTCCTCCACGGATCTGAATATCAAGCAGCGTTGCCGGCGATTCGGATTCAGCAGCCCACGACATGCTCTCTTTACACCAATTTCTCCTGATCCTCGGAATGGAGTGGAGTGTTATTTGCCTCTCAAACGAAAGTGATATCAGTTGTATTGGGGATCACGGAAGGATGAGTCTACCTCAAAAGTATCATTCCTGCTCTTCTCAAGGATGAAGAATCAGTATTGGAAAGTATTCGCTACATTTGCGCCTCCGCCTTCACTCAATCGTCGGAAACGTCTCCAGGGATCTGCTAATTTGATGCTTCGCTTCACTGGAGAGTTGGTCTCCATTCTCGCGCGATTCTGGTCCATCTATCAATTGCACCAGTAAGATCCGACAGCACAAAGTTATCGTGTCCTATGCCGAAGACACAGTCTAGGCGTGGCACAGCGACCATGACCTTGGTCAGAGCGGAAAATGCGTCCAGGATATGCTTTCCTTTGCGTGCATCTCTACGGAAAGTCAATTTATTACCAAAAAAAAAACCTGATCGCAACCTCTCTCGCGTGCAGGTACCGTCGGATGTAATCTTTCATCTATTCGGTGGCCTCGTGGTATTCTTCTACCGTGATTTAGATCTTCTTCACATCATCTTTAATGGCGAGCAAGCTGTTCTCATAAAATACAGTCTGGAGAAAGCCTCCCTTCTTCGATCTCTTTCTTGGAACCTCCTGAAGCTCATTCATAGTCGGGTACAACTGGTGAAACATATCGCCACTGAACTTTTGGGGTTCCTTTCACGAGATCATGAACTATTACGGCACATTAGAACATATAACGAAGCTAGAAGGCGAATATTTCTGGAGAAAGCTGCTTTTCAAGATAGGAAGCAATGAGAGAGAGCAGACTATCTTGATGTTTTGCAAAGGTGTCCATGTCAATGCTCAGGAACTGCATGATGAGATAGACAATCTTCTGGACCTCAATCAGAGTTTTGGGCGGGCCGGGTGGATAGTTCTCTCCACTTACATGATTGCTCCAAGTTGTTCTATATATTGGGAATACCCCACCATCTGGATTGGCGCGACAAGTACCATTCTCAAAGTGACCGAAAGTGTAGCAGCACAGGCACTAATTTTGGCGTTTATTTCCGTCTTTTTGTTTCTTTGATGTTGTGTTTTCATCTTGCCGTAAATCACCATCGCTGCTTTTCATCTCATCTCTAGTGCGTGGATGGGCGTGTTGCGACGGACCCGGCGCCTTGTTATTCGCCCAGTTGTTTGTATGGTTGTTTCAAATGTCTCGTTTTGATAGAGGCCATGGTGTCGATATCTGTACCCCTAGGTATTCCCGTACTGGTGTTGATAACCCTGTACCAGCTATTGCAGGGAATAGCGCCTCTAGTGCCGCTGGTAGCTACGGTCTGACATCCCCACAGGAGGGTGGCGGATACAGGTGTGGTGGAAATTGTCGTGGTTGGGAAATTTGCGGTTGGCAGTCGTAGAATGATTGCTGTGGGTACTGGCCGTACTAGTCGTACTGGCCCTGGGCAATCATCCACCTCGTCAGTGGGATGCAGAATGAGCATACAGTGCTGCCTGGAGGGACATCTCTACGGCACGTTGTCACGATCGAATGCCATATTTAGGCGTAAGATTGCAATTATTAATTTAGCAATTAAGCTGGAGAAGGGAAGGAAAGGAAAGGAGAAAGTGATGTCAGTAACATGAATTTGAGACCTTTGTGCGCGACAGACCTTGGCGCCAAAAAAAAATTCCATTAAGATGAGTATTAACACTTAACACCTAGCGTCTTATTCGGTTGCAAAGCGCAACGGGATCATGGCAAGGCCTATGAGGTATATTTCGATTCTTGCAAAGACGCCACCTGCTTCCATATATATCTCCCTTTTCTCGATTGAGATGTTTTCCTACCTTTTCCGTTGCGCGAGAAGAATGTATTCTTAGTCCAATCCCATCTTCCGCATAACCCAAGCAATAGTATGATTCGAATTCAGACGACAAATGGAGCCTCGCTACAATCACTGTGGATGCGCTGAACCGAAAAGTTCAAACAAGTGTTGTGGATAGAATGGGAGTGGATCTAGCTTGTTGATTGGGTTCTGTGTCCCTGGCTTTTCAGAGAGACTCTGCCTATCTATATAATATTTGTACTGTGGCAACAAGCGATCCTCTGAATAGATCTGGACCTGGCCAGATCTGTCCAGACCTCGTTGTCGATCAACGGTGGCACCGAGTCTATTATAGAGAGGCCTCGGTTGAAGCATTGGTGGATTGGTTGGTTTGCTACAGTGGCGTTCTGCTGTCAACAACAAGCTTTCCGCGCTCCTGCCAAGGAGCGTCTTTTACGCCATGGCTGCGCTAGCCGGTCGCCCGTGATCCTTTTCATATCCTGCTTGCGCCACCTTCGTCGGTTCCGCAACCAATTCTTCATCTCCCAAATCTCCCCAAATGCGCCCACGACTTTGTGATTTTATTGAAGTAAGGAACAGGTCGACAGCCTCCTCTCGCTTGGTCTTTGCACTCGTTCTCAGCAACACTAGAATCGCAGTTCAACAGCCTCTGCTTCTTACATTTAGGGGAAGCTGGATCTCGCGCTGACAGGTGGTGAGAGGCTTGATTTATCTCGTGGTTGATCAGAGCTCTACCTGCTGTCTGACGTTGCCGCAGTCCTGGTCTTCGGATCTATAGCTTTTCAGGCTGGGGCATTTCCGGCTGGGAAGCAGGCAGTTTCTTTCGCCTTCAAGTTCTCGTCAACCACGTATCGAAAGGCCACAGAAGTCCAGTGACCGAGTCGAATCTCGAATATTACAACATTCTCAAATTGGTTTGAACTTGCCGCTGACCCAATGGCACCCTACGATAGCATAAATTTACCCGGCTGCCAGCACTACAGTGCTTGATCCACCTAGGCCGCTAGTCGTAGGTGAATTCACAAAGACATCAACGGAACGATTGCAATAGCGCGGCACGTATCAGCTCACGATAAAAGATCCTGCATCTTTCATTCCTAAGAGAGTCACGCCATTCTCGGCTTTCCAGCCCTGCGAGTTGCATCGCCAGTTCACCGGAGAGATCGGCCTTTCTGGTGAAAAGCCTTCACTACTTGGCGTGATCACCAGGAATTTTTCGACGCGGCAAACCAATCTCGAATGCATGAGCTTACATGGAATACTCAATCAGCCCGTGAAACTCTACAGCCAGCTTTGTGGCTACAGAGCGCAGACTTCATCTATCCGCGCCCGTTTCCACAACTTCACGACCAAGGGAAGCTCAGCCATATCACCCCAAATTCTCAGCCGGAGCGACTCGATGCCATCATACTTCTAGTCAGCGAAAACCTTATGGTCCCGCAAGAACTCTCTGATGGTGGCAAGTTTTGAAGGTGTGGTCTTCAATGCTCGTCTTTGGGTCACTCCTGGGGTTCCGTCTTCGGTTGTGAAGAATTCGCGCAAGTCCACAACCATGTTGGATTGTAGTAAGCGGGATTTCGGCTGACTGTTCTCTGGCCAATATACCTTATGGAAAGCGCATTGCCTGCTGTCCCTCACCGATAACGGATAACAGTTCTTGAGATTCTTCAGGTCTGTCAAAATCTGGTTGGTGATACAGCAGTGACAAGCTCAGATGCAAATTCTACGGATGTAGCATTGTCGAAGCTGACCTATTCTTGTCTCCTGTTGAAGCAGAGCTCTCTCCGTTGAGTGTGCTCGTTTAGTCGTATACTTGAGAGTGGGCAAGTAGCGGTCGATATCCCAAGCCATCCCGCGCAAAATTCTCTGAGCGCGACGGAGTTTGTATGATATCCACCGTTCATTTGTAAGTCAAAGCCCCGGTTGTAGCGCACATAGATCGTCACCCTCACACAGGACGGCTCCTACTTATGATCCAATGTAAACAATCAAAGTCCTCCCGAGAGGGCCTCCTCAATAACCTCTCCACTCAGCTCAACATCGGTAGGAGATCTATCTGATTCTGACCTGTCTCTTCCTATTCATTTGAATACATGTGAGTGCTACACCGCGCCGTGGATGTCGAAAAGGCGATACCAGCGGATACACCGTGATGGACGGCATTTAGCGGGAAGTGAGGACACAAAGAGACTGGAGGCATGATACTCCGCACGGATTACTGCAAAGATCAAGTTTCCACCTCCAATGAGCGGAGACGAAACAAGCGCACGACCAGAGTGTTAAAGGGAATTCTGACAGCCATTTGTACAGCCCGGCGCTGGCTAGCCGAGCTTCGTAAAGTGTGTGGATGCATTGCACTTTCATGGACATTTAGCTCCCATCCATTATTATTCCGAAAAATACAGGGTACGATGTGATTGTTGAGGCTGTCCAAACTTTGCTTCAGCTTGCTCCACTTCAGGTTCGAAAGGGCTGCCATTCTGGCCGGGAGACACTCTGCACATGGCTTTTGCTTCGGCGCAGAGTGAGGCTACTCCGCTTCGAGCTCCCGCTTTCTTAACGTTCGCGACTCCTACTGTATCTAGACTCCGTCGCGTCGCCGACACATTGAGCTTTCTCATGACGAGCTGGGCACAAAAAATCGTTATCGGCAAACCATAATTCAGCTCTAAATTCAAGATCTCCCTGAGGCACTGATGTCGGTCCCTGTCAGTATATACGGCCGTACGTCGCGCTAGATTGTCTTCTTCATCCACCACCCAAACGCCAGGCGATTGAAGACCCATCATACTTATCCAACATGACCAAAACGATTCCAGGACCTCGCCGCCTTCCAATTAATAGCAACACTCTCGACATCTGGGAAGATCGAGCAACTCCCATCCGCGGCCTTGAGCGTTTCGCAGAGATTTACGGGCCCCATTTATCAAATTACCTTGAACGGGAAGAGACGCATCGTTTGCAGCTCCGGGGCCCTTCTTGAGAATCTGGTTGACGAGAGACGCTTCGTCAAGGTTCCACCTGCTACCAACTCGGAAAGACCAGGCCCCAAGGGGCTGCTCACGGCCTGCAATGAAGATCCAGACTGGGGTCAGGGCCACCAAATCCTGATGCCAGCCTTTGCCCCTTTACCTGTCTTGGAAATGTTCACCAATATGAAAGACATCGCAAATCAGCTGATCCTAACCTGGGCCAGGAAAGGACCGGAAAATAAGATTTTGGCCACAGAAGATTTCACTAGGTTGACGCTGGACACGATCGCTCTTTGCACAATGAGCTACCGCTTCAACTCCTTTTACCAGGAATCGATGCACCCATTTGTACAAGCGATGAACTTCCTTTTCACGGAAAACACCGCAAGATCAAGCAGGCCCTCCTTCGTCTAAAGTCTCTTGTTCAAGGCGAATGCAGAGACCGTGGAGGCTCGAAAGGTGTTGGAAGACACTGGGAAAAGCATCATAGAGAAAACTGCAAAGCCGATCCGACAGACAAGAAAGATGTCTTGAATACCATGATGTATGGCAAAGACCCAAAGACAGGAAGGCCATGCGGAATGAACCTGTAATCGCCCAAATGATCAGTTTTCTCATTGCTGGTAAGTTACAACCTCTTTCTCGAGCTTTGACTGATCTCTTCAGGCCATGAAACAACCTATGGGTTGTTCTCTTTCGCCATCATGGAACTCCTGAAGAATTCCAACGCCTACCTCAAAGCATAGAAGGAAGTTGACGAAGTCATTGGTAGCCGAGCCGTCGAAGCCAACGACATCATTAAACTGAAGTACCTGAATGCTGTGCTGCGCGAGACAGTCCGTCTTACTCCCACGGTCCCCGTTCTCTGAAAGCAAATCAATCCTGCGATCTCTCACCAAGTAGTCACTCTTGACAACGGAAAGTATAAGATTGAGCCTATGGATAATATCATCATCCTGCTGGGCAAAGCTCAGAGAGATCCGAAGATTTGGGGAGACGCGGCGCATGAATTTGACCCGGACCGGATGTTGGATGAGGACTTTGACAGAATCACATCGAAATACCCTAGCTGCTGGAAGGCAAGTGATTGTTCTGCAGCACTCGGGAGAAACTAACACGGAATAGCCATTCGGAAACGGAAAGCGAGCTTGTATTGGGAGGCCTTTTGCCTGGCAAGAGGCCATGCTTGTGCTCGCGATGATTCTGCAGAACTTCAATGCGAATTTTGATGACCCAAACTACAAACCGGTTATCAGACAAGCGTTAACTATTAAGCCGCACGACTTCTACATTCGAGTCACTCCTCGCAAGAATATGGACGCCACAGCAATGGGCCTCTTCATACACAGCAAAGGCACAAATGACTCCCAGTCCACCAGACTTTCTTCTGGAAAAACTTGGGAAGGCTTCCCAATGCTCAAAACCGATCACCGTTCTCTACGGCTCGAACACAGGCACTTGTCAAGCCCTTGCCCAACGGCTTGCAGCTGAGGCGGGACTTCGCGAGTTCCATGCTGATGTTCGCGACTTGGACAGCGCAACAAACGCCTTGCCGAAAGATCACCCTGTTGTTATCATCACCTCCTCGTACGAAGGCCAGCCACCAGACAACACGGCCAGGTTCATCGAATGGCTGGCGAACCTGTGAACCAGGCTCCTTGCGTGCCGGTGTCGCAGAATCTTCTTGATAGTGCGTGGCTCACTTCGCACAGTTGCATCTAGCGACTAGTGACCAACATGTGGTTGAGTCATTAGCGCCTTGGCGCTGATTACCCAGCACATAGCTGTCAGACAGACTCTCTCTCTCTTAGATACTCAATACCATACCGCCTCGATACTCTCATCACCGCTCCCTGTCCCACAATGTGGAAGGATCTTGCGTGAAGACTAGTTCAATTCAAGCAGCTGAGAAGAACCCAAAGTTGAGGCGCAGTTCTTTTTTGGGATGTTTTCGGGTTATACTACTGAGGTTTTAGCGAGCTTTCCAGACGCTAGCAAGAGCTAGTGGTTCTAGACGGGCTCGACGGCTAGTGTTGCGCGAGTATCCGCATGCATTGCACTAATGTGGCAGTTGATGCGAACCAGTTCACAACGCAAAACAAACTTCAACAACTTAATCTGTCTCTTGAGTTCATGGACTGATATTTCGAATTCACACCGGCGTCCTAAGGAGTACAAGGATGCCGCAATAATGTCTGCATTTGGGGGGTTCGACTTTGGCGCCGCTGTGCGCGCGTATTGCAATGATGTCATGGAAGCCAACGCTCCCCAAGTCGGCTTGCTCAGGACTTTCGTAAGTGAGCGGAGTATACTTCAAGGTGAGGATCCCTTCTCCTAAGGGTTGGAGCGTCCCGATGTTCATCTCGACTATGACACACTATATCATATCTCCCTCCATTCACCGAGACTAATAAACCTTACTAGTCTTGACCAGGAGCCGTCTCATCCTCGCAGGCTCCAATGGAACGTGAAATCAGTACGGCGTCGAGCACCGAAGAAGACTACCAGGAGATCTACGAAGCAGCTATACACGATCGCCTTCGGGATGGACTTGAGACACTTGCTGAACGGAAGAAACCCAAACGCCACCACAGATACCTGCATGTCAAGCAACAGGACCCCGAGCTGACGACAATCGCAACGAGAATATCGAATGATATGAGAATCGCACCAAAATCTCTCGCTGATATCGTCCCTCCAGAGACCCTGAAAATGAGGAATTCGATTTTCGATTCTTGGGCCTCGACCTTCGTTCAGATGGTCAGAGAAGATGGCATCAAGCGAAGCAACATTGGAGTTTGCTTCAAATCACTCACTGTCTGCGGCACAGGGTCCAGTCTAGCTCTGCAACCAACTGCCGCAAGTCCATGGCTTGATCTTGCCCGACTTCTGATGTTTGTGACCAGATGCAAACCAGAGCCCAGGGTGATCCTCCATAACCCTGCGCACACTCGCGGATGTTGCTGGAGTTACTCAAGCTGTCGCTCTATATCAGGTCAATCAGAGCATCTTTGACGTCTTTAACAAGGTGATGGTTCTGTATGATGGCTGACATATATTCTCTGGCCCTGTCGAATCGGCCCGTTCGAGAGAATGGGATGGTATTGCCCTCCGCGACAGACAAACTCCGGATTTCCTCACCTCCATCACTAGTCCGTGGGAACGCCAACCTCGTCCTAAATATGCAGACACAATTCCTAGGACTCCCATCGAATTCGAACAATACTGGCTGAAGTCGGAGGATTACCATGCCTGCACGGCAGAGATCACTCGGTGTCAAGAGAATGCCAAAGAAAATGGTCGCCTCGAAGCATTGCGGGCCACACATCACGCTGCACAGGCACATCACACCCGAGCCAAGTCCCCCTTTCTCCTTTCTGTCTGGATGCAGATCCGTTTACGCATGAAAAGATCATCTCAGTTGCTATGGAACGACAGGAACTCCACCGTGACTCTTGCAATGAGGCGGATTATCCTTGCTTTGATCGTTGGTAGCATCTATTTTAACCCACCAGACACTACAGCGAGCTTGCATTCCAGAGGTGTTGTGATATTTCTTGCCACCTTGCTGAACGCACTGATGGCCATTACTGAGATCGCCGCACTGTTCGCCAAAAGTGGGATTGTGCGGAAGCAGAACAGCTTCGCATTCTACCACCCGTTCGCAGGTGGATTTGGGGCTTTCATTGTCAACATTCCCGTCAAGTTCGTCATCTCGATCTTATTCGATGTTATTTACTATTTCTTATCCAGACTGAGACCCGACACTTCAAGCTTCTTCACTTTCCCACTATTCAACTTCGTTGGTATCCTGGTCATGTCAACCATGTTCCGCAGCATTGGCGCCTCCTCAAAGCAGCTTCCACAAGCATATGCCATTTCGGGGATTACAGTTCTCATGATGGTCATTTACACTGGTTTCATACTTCAAACTGCCTATATACACCCTTGATTTCGCTGGATTAATTACATCAACCCAATCGCCTACATCTATGAGGCGCTGCTTGTCAATGAAATACATGATCGAGACTTCCTTTGCGCTCCGCAAAGCCTTGTACCTCCTTATGCCCAAGGAAACTCCAATTTTGCTCCCGCCGTGATTGGAGCCGAGCCAGGTCAGAGTATCTTGTCCGGAGATTCGTGGCTGCATTCTGGTTACCGCTATAGCTATTCTCACCTCTGCCGAAATCTTGGGATCGTACTCGCCTACATAGTCTTCTTTTTTGCGTTCTATCTCTTTGCCACAGAATCCAGATCCACCACGAATTCAGAACCGCAACGACTCGTGTTTCGCAACTACAGAGTTGCAAAGGCCCTGAATCCAACTGAAGGCGGAGTCGAGTCAAAGGGGTCGGGAACCTGGAAGTCCCTTCTGCTTACCTCGCTGGCATCGTGGATGATACGTCGAACTTGGCTGCAGGACCTCGGGCCGTCGGCAAACGATTGAACGACATTGAACGTGGGAAAATTGGCACCTTTACATGGGAAAACTTGTCTTTGGACATCGCAATTCGAGGCAGTAACAGACGCCTGCTGGACAACGTCAACGGCTGGGTTAACCCTGGAACGCTCACTTGCTTGATGGGAGTCTCAGGTGCAGGAAAGACGACGTTATTCGACACACTTGCGCAGTGTCACAATACTGTTGGGAAAGTTTGCGGCAAGATCATGGTAGACGGCATGCCATTGAAGCACTCGTCCTAGCGGAAGACGGGATACGTCTAACAGCAGGATTTACATATGCCAATCAGGTATGTACTTCCCTGGCTTAAGTTTCAGACTGCTAACTCTTAATCCCAGATCATGTCCAGATTCCTTGCACAACGCGCTTTGTTCGAAGTCCACGAATCCCCTTCAAAGATGTACAGCTGGGTCGTCTTTATAGCAGCAAACATCCTTGTCGGAATCCCCTACCAGGTCTGCCTCTCCGTGGCCACATGGGCGTGCTGGTACTTCCCTGTCTTCGGACTTAATCACGAATCCGAGACTCGGGTTCTCATGTGGGCATTTTGTCTGCAATTCCTGCTTTTCGGCTCGACGTGTTCGCAGATGCTTATTTTCACAATGCCGAACATCGAGTCGGCGGCCACTCTGTCGACCATCCTGTTCACGCTGACCCTGCACTTCAACGGCGTACTGCAAGTGCCCACCGCACTCCCTGGATTTTGGGTCTTCATGTATCACGTCAGCCACTTCACCTATCTTATAGGTGGGTGGGCTGGCACGGGCCTGGTAAACAGATCTGTCGTCTGCGCGGAGAATGAACCGGCAATTTTCGATCCCCCGACCGGACAAACATGTGGCCAATATCTCTCAGCTTACCTGGCGGATGGTGCCCCGGGGTCCTTACTCAATCCTTCTGCCAACGCAAGCTGCAGGTACTGTCCCATCCGGAACGCCAACCAGTTCCTTGTACAGTCGTGGATTCACTCATCGGACCAATATCGGAATCTGAGTATCTTGTTTGCATACATTGCTTTCAACGTGCTCGCCGCGCTCTCGCTATACTACATCTTTAGAGTCAGGGGATTCTCAATCAAGAGTCTGCGGAAGCCGCAGCCGCAGGGACCCGAGGATGGGAAAGAGCACGAAGACAAACAGCGTAGGAGGAAAGGCTTTTATCTGGGCTTTTACTACAATCTGGTGTTGGCTATTCTGAGGAATCTAGTTCGATACCGGCCCTGCCCGGTTATGATTTGAATTTAAAGAGCGCAATCTCTCCGAGTTGGCTAGCAATCTAATTGCTATATTGTCCTAGATCCGTTTCCTTTTTAGAAAGTGGTCGCTTGCTGATAAGAAAGACGATATGAGACACAAACGGAATAGGTCAGGATTTGGGGTCGACAAGTGATGAAAGGCGCAATGCTCAAGCACTCAGGAGGACGAAAGACAGTGGTATACGCGTCGTTACAACCACACAGGAGGCCAAGATTGTGGCAATGTCCAGTGTACAGATCCTTGAGGGGTTGATTGGAAGAGCCCTGTGATGAAACGTCAAGCTCGTACCGGGGAACGTAATAAGCGACACAGCGATTCATTTTAGACGTGGACCAGGAATTCTGCGTTACTTGATCCCGATCACTCAGGGACTCCATCAAAGTGTTCGGTCAGACTCATCTCTTTGAACTTGAGATTCCTCCACATCCTTTTCCAACGTTAAGAGCGACATTGACAGCAGCCTATAAGGTTAGTATGATATTAAACCAACGCCCGAGTGACAGCAGCACGCTTAGAGGAAGATGGCCCTGTATGCTGGGCATGAGGATGATCAGAAAAGTGAGGATGGAATTCTGAAATCTTGTGCAGTACTTGCCGGGATTCTCGCGACCCCGAATTCTGGCAGGATTTCGGAAAGTCCTGTAAGACAATCAGAGTAATTCCAATACGACAACATGACCGGAAGACTTGCTTGTCGCCGACATCCACACCCGGCCATATGTTCCGTAAGTCTGGTCAATGTGCTTACTCGCTTCCTTCTCACGATATCAACGACATGTTGGTTGTTTCTCATGTCCATCTGACGGCATTGCTAAGCCATAGTACGAATTGAACGCACTTTGCATGCATTGGACCATCTACTCGAATTCGGATTTCTGGACATTGGGCAAGCTGTATTGCCTACTAGAAAACTCATCCATGGACGGCATCGCGAACCAGAACACCAACACGAGCGCTATATCTAACAAGCCGGCCATGTAGATTTCCGGGCGCGACGACCGTATCAAAGGGCTGGACAAGTGATTCGACAGATATCGCCATTGGTTAACAAGGCGCAGCAGGGACTGGCGAAGGCAGTCTCAGAAAACTCCGACGGCTTCAGACGATGATGTGTGGCATGACTAGCCAATATAGGGCTGTGATCAACTCCCGAACAGCCATTGTCCTATCCTTGTTGATCCCTTCTCTTAGTTTGCCCGGTCTTTTCGGCGACTCGAACGCGGGTCGTTGTCAACAGCAGGTCAAGACAGAACTCGCTGCATGATGCAGGTGGGCCATAGTGCCCTACCTATGCAGAGGGCCGGCTAATGTCAGCAGGAATAATGAAGCGCAGACCCAACCTCTTACCATTGTGCTGAGCAAAAGCAGTGGTGGACGTGATCTTTGCTGTTGCGGGAAGTCGGCGTCGGCGCCTAACCGCCGCGCTGTGAGTTAGACAAGTGCGTGTGCCAGTCAACGAGCTTTGCTGATCTCTGTACATTGCTCCAGCTGACACGAAGGACCGGTTCTTGAAGCCGCCATGAGTATATTGAAGACGGCGAAGGAGCGGGCTCGCGGGCAGCCTTTTTACGAAATGTGAATCAGCAGACGTCATAGCGCAGCCCGCGTCTGTCTGTCGCGTCCTGTAAGGTACCGGCACGCTAGGGAGTCGATCGAACACTTTCTATCTTGATCAATGGCTTGCCAGCTGCATCGTTGAGCTCGTGCAGTATTGTTGCTTGCCGCCAGAGCGAGGTCTGAGCCACATCTGCCGGTCTGCCCGACGTCCGCTTGCCTTCTACCTTTTGAGCAAGATGTGGCTGCCAATCTCCAGCTACGCCACTGAGCTGAATCCGGGTTTCAGCAAAGCCATCCTCGGGCTGCCACGGCGAGGAGAAGACTCAGAAACAGCCGTTTTCCAATCGATTCCGGGTATGTCTACCAAACACGAGAAGACAGCGTCTTGGGACCTTTTTTTAGTATCATCAGCCCTCCTTGCCGAAATCATCACCCCCTTCGATACGGCCGCCTACGCCGGTGGCTCTCACGACCTTTGCTGACAGGAAACCTTGGCATTTTAACGTCTCTCTCATTCTGCCTCTCTTACACCCGTGAATAAGCCTTCTGGGAGCGATCTTTGGGCTGGAGAAACGGTAATTGCGCTACCAGCCGCATAAGCTAATCAGGCATGAACAGCATATGTAAGGCGTGATGGTCGGTTAATGCGATATGACAGGCTAGAGGGAAATAGATTCAAACATCTCAGGGTCAGGCCAACTACCATTTCAAGTACTCTCATCGTTCACAGTCATGAGTTGGGATACGAAGCTGAAGCCAGGGAATGCAAGGACGACGAGTACGAAGTGCACATAAAATGAGAACATTTCCCTCTCTACTCCCCCAATGAAAGATCCAAGAGCAAGGCCAGCGTCTCCCTTTCTTCAACGTTGTTACACAACTTCTGGGTAATGTTCACGGCGTACTATAACTTCACTCTCAATATGTCTCTCCGCAACGCCGTTAAGGACCTCCGTCGAGGTACCTCCAGCATCGGCAAATCTCCGTCTTCGAATACGGAAAGCTCACGGAGCGGTTCGTGTGTGCCGGCAACAACCATAGAGCATGCCGGTACATGTCCAATATACCATCCCATAACATCCTCATACGTACAACCCCCCGACTCCAACTCACCACAAAGCTTCTTCGAGGATACCATAGACTCCGATTTCCGCTCGGAAGAGGCGCCTCCGCCATATATGCTACTCTCCAACGGGGACCGAAAGCCCGAATACTCTAAGTCAGATCCTGCTAAAACCATGGACGCCAATATTTCTCGGATGGATGGTGCACTGTGTCTCCGGTGCAACGCGCGCAGGGCCAAGGCTTGGTATTTCCGGCAGACAGCTCGTACAAGCCAATAAAGCAGGCTCTATACAACATCAAGGCGACAGGCAATTTGGCCAAACTATCTCTATCAAAAGCTGTTCAGGGTGCGTGTACGAGCGAGGCGTCACAGAGATTTCAGTGGTTTAGGTGGAAGCTTCCAGTGTCACGCCAGGCGGTGGCAATACAATGAATTCAAGGTGCCATTCCTTTACAGCTACACTATGATCGACTCAGTCGAGAATTGCCCTTCTAAGCTCGTTGTATTTTCCTCATCCATAGCAATATTGCTCCTATCAAGCCTCTAAAATAACGCCTTCTAACGAAACTTTTTGCTCCGGAGGCCAAATTGTGGTTCTGCTCAAACATCTCGGATTAGGCTGAAAAGTGATATATGTTGTCACTGTGAGCTAGACGTCTAGAGATAATATCGTTACGCCTCCGTCATCATCTGAACTATGTTGCCTCTCATTGTGGACTGGATTGACGCCATAAGCTTTGCTTTCTAGCTGCGCCCTTGGAACATTAGCTCGTGGCGTTGGAATCTTCCATTGTCGAGACGTTGTATCAAGGCAGTCTTTCCTGGGGTAAGCATGATTGCTGACATAACGCACGAGACTAACCATTTACAACGCTTTAATATCTTGGATCAACGGGACAGGAGACGGATTCATCAGCTGGGTACAGTAACATGGAGGATGCTTGTGCTTGGCCTGGGAAATGGAACGTTGGCCAAAGGGGAAAGAATTCCTTTTTGGACTCCTCGGAGTCAGTAATAGCCCGTTGCGTCTGTGTATCAAATACTGGGTTCTCAGGCGAGATCAATGACACACAGAAACGCTTTCACGGCCTCGTTTCACTTTTCGGTGCTGAGTATGGGTCGGTTTGCATGTTTCTTGGGCTTCGGCCGCCATGCGCGAAGTCGGTATATCTCGCGAGAAGCGACCAGCGAGACACTCTCTGCTGTTGCTTGGCTGCCTTGTGTCCGACCATTAGTTTTATCTTGTTTCCCAGCGTCATAAAACAGGGCCAAGCGCTGTGCGAGCAAGTCAATATCGAGCTGTTGGTGCGGTAGTTGTTACTTCGAGGCGGTTGGTTGGAGATTGGAGGGGCTACAGCAGCCGCGGAGAAGCAGTTGCTCGAAGTCGATAGCTAGAGCACGACCGTTGATATGTTCTCCCCAGGCAACGCGTCTTCGGCCGCTGCATGGCCGTGAATGTGAACCCACTCAGTTGCAGATTGCCCACGATCCCACTTTCGCCATAGGAGGCACCAGGAGTTTTCGGAAGAATGAGGTAAGCAAGGCAAGCAAAATGCCACCGGTTCACCGAGCAAATCAGAGCTCTCGATATCACCGCCGCGGAAATGGTAACCTCCATTCTGATCGCGACCTGACTGTGAGTGCCATAAATCCATCGAAGCTCTGTATATATAGACAAGGGATTGAATTACTATCCAATTGAGCCTCTGGCAAACAAAGAACTCAAAATGGAGCACATTAACGGAGCTGTTATCAACCATGAGGTCGCTGCTCGCATGGAATACATGCAGTCATTCCTTCAATAGGACGCAGCTAAAGATGGAAAACTCATTGAAGCCTGCAAGCCTGTGCTTGCTCCTATTGTCACCAACGTCGTCGACGCCGTCTACGACCACCTGCTCAAATACGACATCACCGCCGCATCTTTTGCGCCGAAACAGTCACAGGAAGGCGTCACCGCAGAAGCAAATGTGCGCGACCTTCACGCGGGCCACGAAAACATCAGATATCGGAAGGACTTCTTGCAAGGTTACCTGGTCAGATTGGTCTCGAACCACGACTGGACTCCCGAGAGCAAGTTTTGGGAGTACATTGACATGGTGGGAAAAGTCCACACTGGTTCCACGGATTCTGGTTTGAAGCACCGGAAGAACAGGCCTGCCCTCTTCGTGGAGTACCGCGAAGTCAATCTGTTGCTTGGATGGGTCGAGAATGCCGTCACCGACATTGTCATGGGCGTCGAGGGGTTGGAATTGCAGACAAAAGTGGACGTTCTGAAAGCTCTCAACAAGTTTTGGTGGATCCAGAACGACCTCTTTGCGAGACACTATATCACAGGTTTGAGAGTGCTCCAGGTAGA